AAATCTTGGCCTGGAGACTGCTCTGTCACCAAAATAAAGTCTGCAAAAATTCTTTATGTGGAACCCAGTGCCCATCCAGTAGGATCCAGACCTGGTATTCCACAAGCCAGGCTGAGGATGGCCATGCCAGAGACCAACTCTAGCAGCATTGTAGAGTATAGTCTTGATTGGAAAAAAAAAAAAAATGATGCTAGCAAAATTAGGTTAGACATTTCAGAGCAGAGTGAAAGAAAAGCCATCCACCCCCTAGTAAACTTGTAAAAAAACTGAAATATGCTGGTAGTAGGAGGGGTTATGCTGGACTTGCCTACAGTCTAATCCTTTTGCAGGTGGAAGTATAACCCAAAAGGTTAAAGATCTCCCTTCTCTCTCTCAATGAACTCCAAGAAAAAGAATTTACAGCAATTACTATATTCCTATTAATGGTGACGACCAGTAATACACACACGCAGGAATAAAAATGTATAATGCAGACACCTTTCCAAAAGGTTAAAACTGCTGTTTGATGTAAAAGAAAAAGTCTGCTGTTTGTGTGTAAAGTTGCTTAGAAAAAGAAAAGGATGAATAAAAAAGGTAACAAAAAAACAAACAAACTACTGTTACTGAGTGTATACTGTCAGATTATTAGATATAATGAAAGAGGTGAAGACAAAAAGGGCATACAAGAGTGTGTTGGACACACGTTGGAGAGTGAGCACGAGTGAGTGAGAACAAGAGTGAAAAATAGAAAGCACAAGACAGCAAATGAGGAGGATTTTCTTATATTCTACTTGTAACATCTGCAAATGTTTTACGAGAATATTTTCTGGGAAAAACCACAGAACTAGAAACATTTCAACTCTGATGAGTCAGGCTCTACTGTGAAGAATTTAACCATTTGCCCCCCCCCCCCCCCAGTGGATTTACCCCCCTTCCTGACCAGGCCATTTTTTGCGATACGGCACTGCTTTACTTTAACTGACAATTGTGTGGTCATGCAATGCTGCACCCAAATGAAGTATATGTCCTTTTTCCCCACACAAATAGAGCTTTCTTTTGGTGGTGCTTGATTGCCTCTGCGGGTTTTATTTTTTGCACTATAAACAAAAAGAAGACCACTAATTTTGGGGAAAAAAAAATAATATTTTTGACTTTTTGCTATAAAACATATCCAGTATAAAAATATTAAAAATCAGATATTCATAAATTTAGGCCAAAATGTATTCTGCTACATGTCTTTGCTAAAAAAAAATCCCAATAGGTGTAAAATAATTGTTTTATGTGAAAGTTATAGCATTTACAAATAGCGGTATATACAGTCAGGTCCATAAATATTGGGACATCGACACAATTCTAACATTTTTGGCTCTATACACCACCACAATGGATTTGAAATGAAACGAACAAGATGTGCTTTAACTGCAGACTGTCAGCTTTAATATGAGGGTATTTACATCCAAATCAGGTGAACGGTGAAGGAATTACAACAGTTTGCATGTGTGCCTCCCACTTGTTAAGGGACCAAAAGTAATGGGACAATTGGCTTCTCAGCTGTTCCATGGCCAGGTGTGTGTTATTCCCTCATTATCCCAATTACAATGAGCAGATAAAAGGTCCAGAGTTCATTTCAAGTGTGCTATTTGCATTTGGAATCTGTTGCTGTCAACTCTCAAAATGAGATCCAAAGAGCTGTCTCTACCAGTGAAGCAAGCCATCATTAGGCTGAAAAAACAAAACAAACCCATCAGAGAGATAGCAAAAACATTAGGCGTGGCCAAAACAACTGTTTGGAACATTCTTAAAAAGAAGGAATGCACCGGTGAGCTCAGCAACACCAAAAGACCCGGAAGACCACGATAAACAACTGTGGTGGATGACCGAAGAATTCTTTCCCTGGTGAAGAAAACACCCTTCACAACAGTTGGCCAGATCAAGAACACTCTCCAGGAGGTAGGTGTATGTGTGTCAAAGTCAACAATCAAGAGAAGACTTCACCAGAGTGAATACAGAGGGTTCACCACAAGATGTAAACCATTGGTGAGCCTCAAAACAGGAAGGCCAGATTAGAGTTTGCCAAACGACATCTGAAAAAAGCCTTCACAGTTCTGGAACAACATCCTATGGACAGATGAGACCAAGATCAACTTGTACCAGAGTGATGGGAAGAGAAGAGTATGGAGAAGGAAAGGAACTGCTCATGATCCTAAGCATACCACCTCATCAGTGAAGCATGGTGGTGGTAGTGTCATGGCGTGGGCATGTATGGCTGCCAATGGAACTGGTTCTCTTGTATTTATTGATGATGTGACTGCTGACAAAAGCAGCAGGATGAATTCTGAAGTGTTTCGGGCAATATTATCTGCTCATATTCAGCCAAATGCTTCAGAACTCATTGGACGCCGCTTCACAGTGCAGATGGACAATGACCCAAAGCATACTGCAAAAGCAACTAAAGAGTTTTTTAAGGGAAAGAAGTGGAATGTTATGCAATGGCCAAGTCAATTACCTGACCTGAATCCGATTGAGCATGCATTTCACTTGCTAAAGACAAAAGTGAAGGGAAAATGCCCCAAGAACAAGCAGGAACTGAAGACAGTTGCAGTAGAGGCCTGGCAGAGCATCACCAGGGATGAAACCCAGCGTCTGGTGATGTCTATGCGTTCCAGACTTCAGGCTGTAATTGACTGCAAAAGATTTGCAGCCAAGTATTAAAAATTGAAAGTTTGATTTATGATTATTATTCTGTCCCATTACTTTTGGTCCCTTAACAAGTGGGAGGCACATATGCAAACTGTTGTAATTCCTACATCATTCACCTGATTTGGATGTAAATACCCTTAAATTAAAGCTGACAGTCTGCAGTTAAAGCACATCTTGTTCGTTTCATTTCAAATCCATTGTGGTGGTGTATAGAGACAAAAATGTTAGAATTGTGTTGATGTTCCAATATTTATGGACCTGACCGTATACTGGAATTTTTTTTATTTTTTTTTAATACTAGTTATGACGGCAATCAGCAACTTACTGCGGGACTATGGTGGGCATTCTGACACTGGGTGGGAACTAACTGCCACTGACATCCCAATTACACTAATACAGTGATCAGTGCTAATAAAAAGCACTGACTCTGTACTAATGACACTGAGCAGGAAGGGGTTAACATCTGGAGCGATCAAAGGGTTAACTGTGTGTTTTTTTTACTAAGTGTGCTGTGTGAGTTTTACTTGGGAAACAAGCTGCTTTGAATTGCTCTGCTGTGCAGAGCAATACAAAGAAGCCTGTTTGTGATGACAGGGGAGATGTCGGTGTTATTTACACTCAGACCTCTCTCCTTTCAATGTTCTTCGGCGATCGCCAGCAGGGAATCTCCGTCCGGGACCCAGTGATCAAAAGCTGCAGCCATCAAAAGCGGAAAATGCAAAATAACATATATATGCGTGATTTTGCGCAGCCCTGCCGCCCTGTAGCAGTAGTTCTGCTATAGGGCAGTGGGGAAGCAGTTAAAAGACTGGTGACATCTAGACACCTGACACTGGAAATCCACTTTGTGAAATACTTCTCCATGTATATATAATATACATACAGATACAGTTTGGCTTGCGCTCACTACACACCACTGAAAACTGCCCTACTAAAACTCACTAATGATCTACTAACTGCTAAAACCTATGGCCACAGCTCCATGCTCTTACTACTTGACCACTCTGCGGCTTTTGATACTGTTGAAACTCCACTCTCTTGGCCTCCGAGACTCTGCTCTCCTCTGGTTCTCCTCCTACCCACCACAGCGCTCCTTCAGCGTTACCTATAACTCTGCCTCCTCCTCTTCACTCTCTCTTTCTGTAGGGGTCCCTCAAGGTTTTGTCCTTGGACCCCTTCTCTTCTCCATCTACACCTCCTCCCTTGGTCACTTGATAAACTCCCATGGCTTATAGTACCATCTCTATGGTGATGACACACAAATCTATCTTTCTACTCCTCACCTCGCCCCTTCAGCCTCCTCTCGCAATACTAACCTACTAAGTGACATATCAACATGGATGTCACTCCACTTCCTCAAATTCACAAAACTGAGCTCTTAGTATTCCCTCCAGCCTGTGCCCCCTCCCCTGACTTCTCCATCAAGATCAATAACACAATCATCAGTCCCTCCCCTCATGCCAGGGTACTAGGTGTAATCCTAGACTCCCATCTGTCCTTTTAGCCCCAAATCCAATTGCTGTCCAAATCTTGTAGACTTCACCTCTGCAACATCTCCAAGATACATCCATTCTTAACCTCTGAAACTACTAAGCAACTTATTCACTCCCTTGTTATCTCTCACCTTGACTATTGTAACTCCCTCCTCATTGGCCTACCTCATCGCAGGCTATCCCCTCTTCAGTCTATCATGAATGCTGCTGCCAGACTCATCCACCTTACTAACCGTTCCATATCTGCCACCCCTCTCTGCCAATCCCTCTACTGGCTTCCCATTGCCCAATGAATAACATTCAAAACATTAACAACATAAAGCCATTTATAACTCTGCCCCAAATTACATCACCAATCTTGTTTATAAATATCACCCAAACCATCCTCTCCGCTCATCCCATGACCTCCTGCTCTCTAGCTCCCTTTTCTCCTCCTCCCATGCTCGTCTCCAGGAGTTCTAAAGAGCCTCCCCATCCTCTGGAACTCTCTATCCCAATCTATCCGACTATCGCCTACTCTGCCCACTTTTAGGCGACCCCTGAAAACCTCTCTTCAGGGAAGCCTATCCTGCCTTCAGCTAATAACGGAATCTTCTATCAGTTCATCCCCCACAGTTATTACCTTTTGTACCACCAGCCCCTCCCTCTTAGATTGTAAGCTCCAAGGAGCAAGGCCCTCCTAACCCTCTTGTATTTAATTGTATTGTTGCTGTATTGTCTCCCATTATATTGTAAAGTGCTGAGCAAACTGTTGGTGCTATATAAATCCTGTATAATAAAATATAATGTATAATAATTTCATTCCAATTTTTCCTCTTGTATACTGACCTTCTGTCTTAGTGCCTCATTCTCCTCCTGGATGTGTAGAATTCTCTGAAATTCCATGTCAAAGCAGAGAATAGTCGGGACAGGTGCAGGCATGGTTAAGGAAAGTAAAATACAAGGCTTAGGAAGTTTGGAAAGAATGAAATATTAAACTTTTGGCAACTGATTATGCAACCTTGTTGGCTGTACATACAGTACTTTTGTTATGTTTCACCATCTGTTGATAAATGACATTTTAGATTGTAAATTCTACTGCGCAGAGCCCTCTGATTCCTCTTGTATGGAATCGTATTACAACTGTACTGTCTGCCATCATGTTGTAAAAGCACTGCACAAACTGTTGGGCCTATCTAAATCCTGTCTCATAATAATTTTGAGCATGCCAACAAAGATTTGGAGATGGGAAGGCAGCAGCATTAATTTGATTGTGCTGAATTGAGGGAAATTGATTGGCCATGAAAAATGGCAAATCAGCATTGATGCAGGAGTCTTCAAGAAAACTATATGCTAACAGCTAAATACACATTTATGGATGTTTTACCTGCCAAAGGATTTGTATTTATATTCAGACAGTCTTTAAAGCACCCTGGCACATCATATAGCCAGGAGGGTGACACTGCTATTCACTAATGAAGCTTCATGTATGTGTGGGTCATTTCCCCAATCTCTGGACAATGAATATCATCACCCTGGTGATTCAAGCACCAATAAGCAGGAAACTACGAGGGCTAAAATATAAAAACAGTAACGTCATCTATCAGGCTATACCATAAAGGCAAAGATGTTTGACTCACAAGACTGGCCGAACAGAATGAGAAACCCTTAAAGCTACATCCCACCACGTATTACTTCTCATCTGCCTACATTTACAATGTATTACTAACAAAAGCTGATACACTTCAAGCCAACTGCTGTTCTGTGGGTTAAAGTTAAACTCCCAACATGGTTTTTTTTTTTTTTTTTTCTTTATATAGCAGGGAAGGGTCAAAACCTTGATTAGGTTTTTATCTTTGTGTACTTATTTAAAAACTTCCGCTCAACTCCAGTACCATCAACAATATGATCACAGAGGAACAAAGTCACGGTAAATCTCTCCAAATTTAAAGAAATTCCCCCTCTTAGACATTTCTCACCAGTACATTTGTCCCTATTGGAAAACCTGATTACCTCTACCACTTTTTGTGGCGAGAGATATAATATTTTGAATTTCCCATAATGTTCTGTCTCAGTGACAATGGTCACCAGGAGAAATAAAAGGTAAACCCCCACAGCAGGAACAGGAAAAAAAAAAAAAAAAAAAAAAAAAAAAAAAAAAAAAACACCACACACACAAACATCCCCACATCAAAAAAAACCCCTAAAACCGCTTTGACAGAGTTCCACTTTAAAACATGCCATGTGACCTGTGGGCAACACTCTCAGGACTCATCTTCTTTGGTCATTTCTGGTCAAAGGATATGCATGCACTGGAAGAGGACGCTCAGAAAATTGTGCAGTGATACTGTGAAGGTGTCCGCCCACTGCCGGGAAAAGTATGTGGAAAAAGTCGGATTGGCATCAGGTGCTGGGAGGAAAGGGAGAGCGAACCATTCTTTCCACTCAGCCTGGTTTTGAAGCTCCGGTGCTTGTTTTTGGAAGAAGTCATGTGCCTTGTCTGCCCGACTGCACTGCAATGCAATAATAGCACAGAGAAACCGTTATTGTGGCATTTTATAGGATAATCATATCATTACAATCTGTTACTGTAACAGACTATCAAAAAGTGTGCCCATTCCAGAACGCGCATGGTTAGGGATAATACAAACAATGCTAAAGAATCCATGCAGGTAAAAAATTGTTTAGGCTTTATAACCACTTTAAGGCTCCATACACACTAGCGAGTTTTTTAAGCTAAAAAAACGCTAACAAAATTGCTAGATAAAAGCCGCTGGTAAAAGCAATTAATTGCAGCATTTTATTAAAGTTCAGCAGCGTTTAGGAGCATCAGTATTTTATTAGCGTTTTGACAGTACATTCAGAGGAAAGAAAAAAAAAAAAAAAAAGCGGTTAGTAGCTTTTTAGTTCCGCTTTTTTTTCTGCTGGAAAAACATTACAAAACAACTCTACAACAACATTGTTTTTCTGAGAATATAAACGGAAGAACTTCCTGCGCTAAGAATGGGGCCCTATTCACCAAGCTGCTGACACAAACCTCCTTACCAAAATGAGTGAATACACATAAATACAAAGTGCAGCGCTATCCCTAAACTTACTAAATAAATATAAAGTGCAACCTAACTGTTCAAAGTGTAACAGTGCTATAAATAATACCACAAGGTACTAAACCTATGTGCAAAATGTGCAATTACAAAAATGTGCAACCCGTGTACTCCCAAATGGGAATAAAGCCTGAACCCTGAGGAAGTCACGTGTTACCGTGACGCAACGCGTCGGAACGCGAGGAGGATTCTGGGAGCGCGGTGACGTCATTTCCGGCCATACTTGAAATCCCGGTATCTAAATACCCATGCAGGAGATTCATAGCATGGGGTATTGAAGGCTTGTGATGAGAAGAATTGAAATGTGAGTAGGCAATTTTATTATATATTTATTTCTGAAGAATAAACAGGATTACACTATGTGAGTTTTTTGTCTGTATATGAACCGAGGAGGAGACTGCTGATAGAGTGTAAGAGGCGGGGGAGGACCTGGTGAGTCATCAGAGTGGTGTCCTGGTTTAAAGCGAGCTGACCCTGTGGGGTCTTGGCAAGGAGGTGAGGGGCCACTACAGCTATTGTTTGGATTCACACAGTGTGGACACGTGTGATCACATGCATGAAGATTGAGAGTTCCTTATGTTGCATTTGGACACTTTAATTTTCCTTATGGACTTATTTTCTTACAACAGATGTTTGCAGTGATTTTCTGTTAGCGATTGTCACTTATTGCACTTTATTCCCATTTGGGAGTACACGGGTTGCACATTTTTGTAATTGCACATTTTGCACATAGATTTAGTACCTTGTGGTATTATTTAGAGCACTGTTACACTTTGAACAGTTAGGTTGCACTTTATATTTATTTAGTAAGTTTAGGGATAGCGCTGCACTTTATATTTATTTAGTAAGTTTAGGGATAGCGCTGCACTTTATATTTATGAACATTGTTTTTTCTGCCCCTAGATGCTAAAGCTCAAAAAAATGCTTATAGCCTAAAGTAGTGTGCACGGACACAGGAATACACTATTTAGCTTCCAGGAGCAAAATAAAAAAAAAAATGCCGATAATAGCTTCTAGGCGCTTGAAAAAAAAAAAAAAAAACCACTAGTGTGCATGGAGCCTAAAACCAAAGAGCAGAAAAAAAAATACAGCGCAAGGGAAGTAACTTACATTCACAGTAGGATGTGCTCCTTGTGCTAATCCCTCTATTACTTGAGATCTTACTCCATCCATCAACCCCCTGCAAACACACACCCATGATCTTCTGGGGTGGCTTGGGCTAATGGATCTAAGGGGCTGTAACAGGCTCCCATCAAGAGACTATGCTCATACTTTCCACTCATCTCCACCCTTCATAAAATCTGTACTACAGCTTCTATGAATGAAATACTACCTATGAATGAATAGGGTGAACTTATCAATCATGCGCCTGTCCTTTATTCTTAGCTTGCTTTCCATTCATTTTCTTCCATTCCATTTGTAGCACAGCTTCTATGAATGGAGCAGCTGTGCGGAAAGAGCATAGTCAGGATCTCCTGATGACGGCCCCAAGTTGTATTAACGCCGTCCACCCTATATGATTATAGTGGCGGGGGTGGGGATTTCTACTAAAAGAAGAGGCATCAGCACAAGGGATGCATCCTACTGACTGTAAGTTATGCCCTTTGTGCTCATTTTTCTATTTTTTATTTTGGCTGTACTCAGGCTGTAAATGTATTATTTATTTGCAAGCAGTGCAAGTACCTAAATTTGACCTGGTATAAGCCTGTTGCAGCCCCTGATCAGTTTATGTACTGACAAGAAGCACTCAGAAGAGTGGAGAGAACAGACACAGATGAGTGCATCACCATGCTACTTTTCCTGTCACTGTTCATTCACAGTCTGGGGGTGGGTCCAAGACAACCTGTGCTCAGGATGAATGATGCTGGTCATCAGACTGAGGGCATCTAGCAGCAGAATACAAGTACAATGGTGGAAATCTTTGGATTGAAGGTAATTATTGCAGGAAAACCTTATTTTGTATTATCTTTTAATGAACTATTCATTTTTCTCTTCATCTTGCTTTAACTCAACACGTACCATTACCATTTAATGCATGTCCTGATAAACCACTGTGCAAATAAAATAAAGGAATGAATAAAAAAAACCAGACTGATTTTTTTTTTTTTTTTTTTTTAGATCATTGGTTGCCCGCTACATCAACCTGACCATCTGTATGCCATAATCAGGGAGCCTGTTGCACAATGATGTCAGAAATTATAATGTGCAATCTTGCCCAAGGGTTAGTTATCCCAATCATCATAATGTAATTGCTCTATCCTATTCAGAACAAAATGTAAGTTAGGGACCTTAGATTGTACACCCCTTGAGGGTTAGGTACTGATATGAATGTACAATAGATGTAAAGTGCTGCATAAATTGACGGCGCTATATAAGTACCTGAAATAAATAAATGTATAGTTCCTACCTGTATGGTGCAGACAAGGTAATAGCGGAATAAGCTAGTTTTCAGTTTGTTGACAGTTGGCCGATACACATCCTCCAATCTGCTGAAAAGACGTCGTTCCAGATAGCCCCAGTATTCCAGAAGTCCATTAAGGTCATAACTCTGGATAAACTGCAACAGCTGTTCCACAATCCTGTCCACCTACAGTGCAAAAACCCACACATTGAGCACAAAAATAATACTGCAAAGCCTTTATAATGCTTAAACTACAGTACAGATTAAAGTAGTCGTAAACAATAAATGCTTATGTTTCATTCAAACAAGCTGCTATGGGCTACAGACTCTGATAAAAGCCACAAGCTGTAATTCTACAGCTTAGTTCACTATACACCAGTTAAAGTACAGAGAAAACAATGGCCAAGTTTTTTTTTTTTTTTTTTTTTTTTAATATAACCCTTTATGTTCTTTAAAATCTCAATGCTACTGATTTCATTGGGCCTGTTTCAGCCATTTCCTGTCTACACGCACATCATTCCTCTACACCAGCTTTCTGACAGTGACAATGTTGGATCATGTCTACGCAATGTGTGTTAGCACAGTCTCCATCGGGAGAACGTATGACAAGGTGATAATGCAGGAGCACAGAAAGTAGTCAAATGTCAGCCCAAAACTGCTTTCCCGCCACCCTATAGCAGATACACTGCTACAGGGCGGTAGGGGTGTGCAAAATCACATGTATATATAGACAATGATTTTGCATTTACGGGTAGGGGAACGCCCTACCCACACCACTATTTGTGGCCTCAGCTGTCAATCACAGAGTCCCGGCTGGTGATTACTTACCAGCACTCGGTGATCGCAGACTATTACCAACGGAAGGAGAGAACTGTAAGTAAACAACACAGATCTCTCCCGTCAGCTCCTACACACTGCTTTGCATAGAGCCATGCAAAGCAGTGTGCTTACAGTGAAGCACACACACACAGCTTACAGTAAAACAGCAGACAGCTAACCCTTTGATCACCCCACGTTAACCCCTTCTTACCCTGTGCCATTTGTACAGTGTCAGTGCTTTTTATTAGCACTGATCACTGTATTGGTGTCACTGGGGATGTCAGTGACACCAAGTTAGTTCCCCCCAGTGTCAGAATGCCCGCCTCAGTCCCGCTATAAGTCACTGATCGTCGCCATTACTAGTAAAAATAAAAATCTCAGTTTATAGTCCGCCATTTGTAAACGCTATAACTTTCACATAAACCAATTAATTTACATATATTGGGATTTTTTTAGCAAAGACATAGCAGAATACATTTTGGCCTAAATGTATAAAGAAATTAATATTTTTAAAATATATTTTTACTGGATATATTTAATAGCAAAAAGTAAAAAATATTGCTTTTTTCTCAAAATTGTCGGTCTTTTTTTTCTTTTTTAATAGCGCAAAAAATAAAAAAATAAAAACACACAGGCGACCACCGAAAGAAAGCTCTATTCATGGGGGGGGGGGGGGGGGGGGGAGACGTAAATTTAATTTGGGTGCAGCGTTGCATGACCACACAATTGTCAGTTAAAATAATGCAGCGCCGTAACTCAAAAAATGGCCTGGTCAGGAAGGGGGGTAAATCCTCTGGAGGGCAAGTGGTTAAAGACCCACATGGCAGGATCACCAGGCATTATTTTTTTGAGTGCTGCAGATTTAAAATTATTGGAGTCAACTATCAAAAATGACATGAACAAGTTAAAGCTTATATTAACTTTTCTTCAGTCTGGACGCAAGGGGTTACTGACCTTTGTGCTGGCTTATTTTGAAGCCATACAGTTCTATAGCTTGGCTTACTATTAACTGATACACAAGACAGTTTATCTGGAAGGAAATATTTGGTATAGTTATTATTACTTCTAATTATAGATATAAGACTGGAATGTAGGGTGCCACCCACACATACATTTACCAGCTATGTGCGGTGTATAGATTGGTTTAGTTTGTACTGCAGTATATGGTTACTGTGCAAGACATCAACCTAGCTAGAGTGTTTTTAAACCCAAGAACAAGTAGAATATACTTCAGCTTTAGCTGTAAACACAGAGCCAGTGCTATGTAGTCACATGACTAGCCTGTAAGAGGACAGTACTGCGGAAACGTCATGGTGGGTACCTCTATACATTTCCCATAATCTTCAGTAACTTAAACATGGAGTCAGCGCTGTGGAGTCACATGACTATCCTATAATGAAAGTAAGCAGTTGAACCATTATAGCTGCACATGTGCTTTAACCCCTCTGCACACATTCCTCCTTTTGCATGGCTGGTGGTTCTCAATCCTAGCTGTCAATGACAGTCAGGGTCCCCCCTGCCAACCGAGAACCAGAGTTAGTTTAGTTTACGAGTGATCATTAGGTCAGCTCTGACATAGCGATTTATATTGTAAAGTGCTGTGTAAAAACTGTTGGCGCTATATAAATCCTGTATAATAATAATAATAATAATAATAATAATAATAATAATATGGGCTTAAAGCGGAGCTCCACCCAAAAGGGGAAGTTCCGCTTTAAGCCTTTGTCCCCGCTCCCAATTAAGGATTGGCACCTTTGGGGAGCGGGGACCCGAATTTGACAGGTACCCGCTCCCACTTCCGCTGCGATTGCCTAGGCCAGGGGTCCTCAAACTTTTTAAACAGGGGGCCAGTTCACTGTCCCTCAGACCGTTGGAGGGCCGGACGATGGTTTAAAAAAAAAAAAAAAAAAAACTATGAACAAATGCGGACACAGTACAGGAGATGACCAGAGACTTCGGACATACAACGGCGGCGGGAATACTAGGCCAGCCGCTTCATAAGACGCAGAGACATTTCTACCCAAGTGTGTCTTATGGAGCGAAATAGTGTCCCATCATTGGTGTCAGTGGTAGGAATAGTGCCCCATCATTAGTGTCAGTGGGGGGGGGGAGGAATAGTGCCCCATCATTAGTGTCAGTGGGGGGGGGGAGGAATAGTGCCCCATCATTAGTGTCAGTGGGGGGGGAGGAATAGTGCCCCATCATTAGTGTCAGTGGGGGGGGGGGGGGGGGGGGAGGAATAGTGCCCCATCATTAGTGTCAGTGGGGGGGAGGAATAGTGCCCCATCATTAGTGTCAGTGGGAGGGAGCAATAGTGCCCCGTCATTGGTGTCAGTGGGGGAAGGGGATGGTGTCCCATCATTGGTGTCAGTGGGAGGAATAGTGCCCCATCATCAGTGTCAGTGGGGGGGGGGGGGGAATAGTGCCCCATCATCAGTGTCAGGGGGGGGGGGGGGGGGGGGAATAGTGCCACATCATCAGTGTCAGTGGGGGGGGGGGGGGGGAGGAATAGTGCCCCATCATCAGTGTCAGTGGGGGGGGGGGGGGGGGAGGAATAGTGCCCCATCATTAGTGTCAGTGGGGGGGAGGAATAGTGTCCCAACATTAGTGTCAGTGGGGGGGGGGGGGGGGGGGAGGAATAGTGCCCCATCATTAGTGTCAGTGGGGGGGGGGGGGGGGAGGAATAGTGCCCCATCATTAGTGTCAGTGGGGGGGAGGAATAGTGCCCCATCATTAGTGTCAGTGGGAGGGAGCAATAGTGCCCCGTCATTGGTGTCAGTGGGGGAAGGGGATGGTGTCCCATCATTGGTGTCAGTGGGAGGAATAGTGCCCCATCATCAGTGTCAGTGTGGGGGGGGGGGGGGGGGGGGGGAGGAATAGTGCCCCATCATTAGTGTCAGTGGGGGGGAGGAATAGTGCCCCAACATTAGTGTCAGTGGGGGGGGAGGACTAGTGCCCCATCATTAGTGTCAGTGGGGGGGAGCAATAGTGCCCCAACATTAGTGTCAGTGGGGGGGGAGGAATAGTGCCCCAACATTAGTGTCAGTGGGGGGGAGGAATAGTGCCCCAACATTAGTGTCAGTGGGAGGGAGCAATAGTGCCCCATCATTGGTGTCAGTGTGTGGGGGGGGGAATAGTGCCCCATCATTGGTGTCAGTGGGAGGAATAGTGTCCCATCATTGGTGTCAGTGGGAAGAATAGTGTCCCATCATTGGTGTCAGTGGGAAGAATAGTGCCCCATCATTAGTGTCAGTGGGAGGGAGCAATAGTGCCCCGTCATTGGTGTCAGTGGGAGGAATAGTGCCCCATCATCAGTGTCAGTGGGGGGGGGGGTGGGGGGGGGGGGGGCGGGGGGGAAATAGTGCCCCAAACATTAGTGTCAGTGGGGGGGGGGGGGGAGGGTGTAGTGGGAGGAATAGTGCCCCAACATTAGTGTCAGTGGGGGGAGTAGTGCCCCAACATTAGTGTCAGTGGGGGGGAGGAATAGTGCCCCATCATTAGTGTCAGTGGGGGGAGGAATAGTGCCCCAACATTAGTGTCAGTGGGGGGAGCAATAGTGCCCCATCATTGGTGTCAGTGGGGGGGGGGGGGGGGGGGGGGAATAGTGTCCCCATTGGTGTCAGTGGGAAGAATAGTGTCCCATCATTGGTGTCAGTGGGAAGAAATATGTCCCATCATTGGTGTCAGTGGGGAAGAATAGTGTCCCATCATTGGTGTCAGTGGGAAGAATAGTGTCCATCATTGGTGTCAGTGGGAAGAATAGTGCCCCATCATTGGTGTCAGTGGGAAGAATAGTGCCCCATCATTGGTGTCAGTGGGAAGAATAGTGCCCCATCATTGGTGTCAGTGGGAAGAATAGTGCCCCATCATTGGTGTCAGTGGGAAGAATAGTGCCCCATCATTGGTGTCAGTGGGAAGAATAGTGCCCCATCATTGGTGTCAGTGGGAAGAATAGTGCCCCATCATTGGTGTCAGTGGGAAGAATAGTGCCCCATCATTGGTGTCAGTGGGAAGAATAGTGCCCCATCATTGGTGTCAGTGGGAAGATAGTGCCCCCATCATTGGTGTCAGTGGGAAGAAATAGTGCCCCATCATTGGTGTCAGTGGGAAGAATAGTGCCCCATCATTGGTGTCAGTGGGAAGAATAGTGCCCCATCATTGGTGTCAGTGGGAAGAATAGTGCCCCATCATTGGTGTCAGTGGGAAGAATAGTGCCCCATCATTGGTGTCAGTGGGAAGAATAGTGCCCCATCATTGGTGTCAGTGGGAAGAATAGTGCCCCATCATTGGTGTCAGTGGGAAGAATAGTGCCCCCCATCATTGGTGTCAGTGGGAAGAATAGTGCCCCATCATTGGTGTCAGTGGGAAGAATAGTGCCCCATCATTGTGTCAGTGGGAAGAATAGTGCCCCATCATTGGTGTCAGTGGGAAGACTAGTGCCCCATCATTGGTGTCAGTGGGAAGACTAGTGCCCCATCATTGGTGTCAGTGGGAAGAATAGTGCCCCATCATTGGTGTCAGTGGGAAGAATAGTGCCCCATCATTGGTGTCAGTGGGAAAGAATAGTGCCCCATCATTGGTGTCAGTGGGAAGAATAGTGCCCCATCATTGGTGTCAGTGGGAAGAATAGTGCCCCATCATTGGTGTCAGTGGGAAGAATAGTGCCCCATCATTGGTTGTCAGTGGGAAGAATAGTGCCCCATCATTGGGTGTCAGTGGGAAGAATAGTGCCCCATCATTGGTGTCAGTGGGAAGAATAGTGCCCCATCATTGGTGTCAGTGGAAGAATAGTGCCCCATCATTGGTGTCAGTGGGAAGAATAGTGCCCCATCATTGGTGTCAGTGGGGGGGAATAGTGCCCATCATTGGTGTCAGTGGGGGGGAATAGTGCCCCATCATTGGTGTCAGTGGGGGGGAATAGTGCCCCAACTTTGGTGTCAGTGGGGGGGAATAGTGCCCCATGATTGGTGTTAGTGGGGGAAGGAATAGTGCCCCATCGTTGGTGAAAGTGGGGTGGAAGAAATAGTGCCCCATCGTTGGTGTCAGTGGGGGGGAAGAATAGTGCCCCATCATTGGTGTCAGTGGGAGGAATAATGCCCCATTATTAGTATCAGTGACACCAAATGATAAGGCACTATACCTCCCCACTGACACCAATGACACTTAACTTGCTGACCCCTGTTCCAGCATGGTGCTGCTGCAGCCAGCATAGCTGGTTGCAGCAGCACCATCTGCATGGCACACTTACCTGTTAGCTGTCTCTCTTCACTCCAGCCTCTCCCTCACTCGATGTTCGCAGGGCTGCTCGGCTCCACCTCCTCGCAGGTGATTGGCCGCCTGTGTGCCTTTCCTGAGCTACAGTTCTGGCGCCCAATCACCGGTGAGGAGGCGGAGCCAATCGGCAGCGCGAACATAAAGTGAGGGAGTGCCGAAGTGAATGAAGGAGCAGCGCTTCCTGGACTGGATCGTTGTGGGACTGGGACACGGAGCCAGGTAAGATATAGCAGCCCCCTGCCCACCCCTGTACTTAGTGTCCCTTCCTCGTGGCAAATACGCCCCTGCCGGCGGGCTGGATAAATGTCCTCGGCAGGCCGCATGTGGCCCGCGGGCCATAATTTGAGGACCCCTGGCCTAGGCGATCAAAAGCGGAAGTTGTCCTCCCTCCCTGTAGTCTTCTGGGACACATGACAGGTCCCAGAAGACTAAGGGCCATTTACAAAGCGCAGCGCTTTTTGCACATGCACAGTGGGCACCTGTCTGTGAAGCCGCAAGCTGTCACAGCCAGGTGCCCACACTGAAGAGGCCGGCACCAGGGGGAGATGATGGCCGGTGAAACCAGTGGTGGTGAGGACACCGCTGGACCGAGGGACAGGCAAGTGTCTTTAATTTTAAAAGTCAGCAGCTACAGTTTTTGTAGCTGCTGACTTTTCTTTTTTTTTTTTCCCCAGGTGGAACTCCACTTTAAGGTTTCACTGAAAAAAAAAGCCCTCAGCAGATGTTGCATTGGCATCTGCAGTGACATTTGTATATTATTGTATTTGCCATTGCATGTATGAATGTAGTCCACTGCAGGAACATGCCATGATGGGTGGCCACATCCACACACAGTGGGACCATGTAGACCCTGCAAAGCCACCCTCATAAAAAGGAAGATCTATCAGAAGACATTTTACATTTTTCTTTCAGCCTGTCTTGTTTAAAACTTCTATTCTAAAAGTATCCAAATGAGAACATATGAAGGTATGGAATATTTAAAGTGGTTGTAAACCCTTATATATACCGAGTGTAGTGACTGGCCTCAGGTGATACACAGAGATTAAACAAATCCTCCTACATAAGGTGTACTTGTCCATCTACAGCCACATGTAAATCAAAGTGCAGACTTTTCACAGGATCTCTCATCTCTGAAAAGCAGAGGGCGGAGAGCTGAAATTACATCACTGAGCTCTGACAGCTGATTGGAGAGAGGGACACACCCCCTTCACACAGCAAACAGGAAGAGAGCTGAGGCTGTCAATCACAGGCTGTGCCCTCCTGTCACCACTTTTCTCTTGGTGTCAGGAATAATGGTTAGAAGTGACTCATGCTTATACCAGAGGAATTAGGCAGCAGACAGAAGTAACACTTGGTGCTCTTTAATGAGACAAGCGCATTACTATAGAGGGATATGCTTTGCCCATATTTCATGCCTGAGGTTTACAACTACTTTAACTTTTTTTTTCATTAATTGGCTTTAGGGACACTGGAAGGGTTAAACAATCATCTCACACACAGTAGCCCTACCCACATTATACAACAAAGCAAAGCTTGCCATCCTGAGCTGCTGCTAGAAATTTTTGGATGTATATCAAAACATGTCCCGAAATAACTGGAATGGAAATAAGGTGCAACGAAAAATGAAATCAAACAAGTCGTCCTACATTCTTACTTACTACCCGGAAGCCTTTCTCCTTGTCAGCCTTAATATCTGCTTCAAAGTATTTCAAGGTGTTGGTAAAACCTCGGAAAGTGAGGTACTCTCTCACCAGGTCATCTGTACGCTCCACGGCTGACGTCATCCCTGGGGCTGCACAGGGTAACCCGGACACTGCAATAACAGTAATGAAAAGAATTAAAAAAAAAAAAAAAGAAGAAAAACCTGCTCATGGAATTGTTTCTTTTTGTTCAATTTTAACAATTCTGTTCACTTGCCAAACCTTAGTGACTCAGTGATCCTGCCATAACTCAAACTGGACCAAATTGCTGAAGAACTTTGGAAACAATCCAGGTGCCTTTGTTACTTTATATGCAGGGCCCATTCACACGATGCATGCGTTTGTGGGCCTTGTAGTTGTGTTTGGACAGTATATTCCTTTTTAAAATGTTGGCAGTGCACTTCAACACATGAAAATATTTAACTGTACCATTTTTTCCAATACCCCACACACAGATTGTTCAAACATTCACTGTAATGCCCCACAGTGGTGCCCTGAGTGCGCAGTCACAATAAATAGCACAGCAATGCACTTTGCTCCAACATGCATTGCTGGAAAACATGTTTGTTTTTTTACTGCAAAATATATGTGTGTAAAAAGCCCCTATGCTGCTGCTATGAGTGCTCCTTCCATTAGCAGAGCTTAAAGGGTGAGAGTAATGGAGGCTGCTATTGCTGAACTGACATTTTGAGAAGGTAGTGACACATCCTTGACCGTTCTGAAGATTTTTTTTTAATTTTAGTACAATAACTACCAGAAAAGTAAAAAAAAAAGAAATTACAAGAAAATCAGCCTGGAAATTGCTTGCAAAAAACTGAAGTCCATTTTACAATCACACAAACAGCCAATGGGACCTTAGAGCAATTAACAGTGTTACCGTATTAATAAATAATAAGCAATGAACAGGATGACATACGTGCTTGCTGGGTGAACAAAGAAAACAGGATTTTTATACACAAGTGAAACATCTCCATTATGAAAAGCAGTAAAACACTGCCACACAACGCCATACATATAGCACTCAGGCATTATAAAGTTCTCTCTGCCAAATTTCAATATGGCGCTGACTCAGAGGATAGGACATACAATCTTCTCTTTATCAATATGATAGGTTTTATTAATTGGGAGCTTATTCACTCCATGTCCATTGACCTGCACTGATCTGTATAGGAAAATAATAGGCGCATGGAATTTACTGTCCATAAAGTGAATAAATTCAATGGATTGGGAATTCAATGGTGGAGAAGGGGATAAACCAGCCTGAATGCCCGGGCAAGATGTGGTAGAGAGAAGCAGACTCTAATGTGGAGAAACAGAAGAAGAAACACAGCGCCTCAGAGTGCAGACTGGATTACAAGTTTAATTGTTAAAAAGTAAGTAACTCACATGGTCATAGTTACAAACAGACTCATCATAGAAGGAAGTGCAGACCGCCTCATCGTCAATATGTCAATTCTCATATGTCTTCTTATGTATTCATATGATATCACCAGCAAACTCATTCTGCTTGTCATCATTCCCCTGTCAATCTCCCCTCCTATTATCCTTCCCTGTTCCTTTAACCGCTTCCAGACCGCCCTATAGATGTATTACTAAAGGGCGGCATGGGTGTGCAAATCACGTATATACGTGATTTTGCATTTCCGGGTAGGGGGAGCGCACACCCTACCCGCATCGTCATTCGCGGCTATGGCTGTCAATCACTGGGTCCCAGCCGGTGATTACTCGCTGGTGCCCGGTGATACACGAGCATCCCCGATGGGGAGGAGAACTGTATGTAAACAATGCAGTTCTCCTTCCTGTCAGCTCACGCACACTGCTTTAGATGGCTGTGCACAGCACAGCCATCCAATGCAATGTGCTTACAGTGAAGCACACGAACACAGCACAGAGTAAAACAGCGCACAGTTAACACTTTGATCGCCCCACGTTAACCCCTTCTTGCCCAGTGCCATTAGTACAGTGTCAGTGCGCTTTTTTTTTTTTAGAACTAAATCACTGTATTGGTGTCACTGGAGATGTCAGTGACACCAAGTCAGTTCCCCCCAGAGTCAGAATGCCCGCCGCAGGTCGCACTTTAATTCGCTGATTGCCGCCATTGCTAGTAAAAAATTAAAAAAAATCCCAGTATACATATTGCCATTTGTAAACGCTATAACTTTCACGTAAACCAATTAATTTATACATATTGGTATTTTTTTTTTACCAAAAAGACATGTAGAAGAAAACATTTTGGCCTAAATTTGATAAAAATATATATTTTTTTCAAAATTTATTTTTTTTTTTTTTTATAGCGCAAAAAATAAAATGCAGAGACGATCCAACACTACCAAAAGAAAGCTCAATTCGTGTGGAAGAAGGAAAAAAAAAAAAAAAGGACGTAAATTTAATTTAGGTGCAGCGCTGCATGACCGCGCAATTCTTAAAGTAAGGCAGTGTAGTATCTCAAAAAATTACCTGGTCAGGAAGGGAGGGGGGGTAAATCCTCAGGAGGGCAAGTGGTTAATTGTTCCCTTGTCAAACTTCCAGCCCACCATCACTCAGTTCCCCAAATAAAGCTCCCATTCAGATCGTATCATATGCTTGACAAAAGGAGCACTCTGGTCTAGGCCTTGCACATGCTCAGAAACGCGTCACACTTTATGACGTCAGATGCCACCACTCCAGACTTTACAGTGGAACAACCCGGCACTTTCCTCCCTCTCCAGCGCTCCCCACTGTCCCACCTTGACACACTTTATCGTATTAACAACTTGGCGATGAGGCAGTCTGTACATCCTTCTATGATGAGTCTGTTTGTAACTATCACAATGTGAGTTGGCTACTTACTTTTTAACAATTAAACTTGTAATCCAGTCTACACTCAGAGGCGCTGTGTTTCTTCCTCTGGTGACAACACATCGCACTGCCCCTACACAATGTACATGTAATAACATGCAGCCTGGTGTAAATGAGCCCCGAAAGAAAATATTCAAAGATGCACTCTTTTAAATCTAGACGTTCTAGTGAACGATCTTTTAAACTAGAGTCAGGTCCATAAATATTGGGACATCGACACAATTCTAACATTTTTGGCTCTATACACCACCACAATGGATTTGAAATGAAACGAACAAGATGTGTTTTAACTGCAGACTGTCAGCTTTAATTTGAGGGTATTTACATCCAAATCAGGTGAATGGTGTAGGAATTACAACAGTTTGCATATGTGCCTCCCACTTGTTAAGGGACCAATAGTAATGGGACAGAATAATAATCATAAATCAAACTTTCACTTTATAAAACTTGGTTGCAAATCCTTTGCAGTCAATTACAGCCTGAAGTCTGGAACGCATAGACATCACCAGACGCTGGGTTTCATCCCTGGTGATGCTCTGCCAGGCCTCTACTGCAACTGTCTTCAGTTTCTGCTTGTTCTTGGGGCATTTTCCCTTCACTTTTGTCTTCAGCAAGTGAAATGCATGCTCAATCGGATTCAGGTCAGGTGATTGACTTGGCCATTGCATAACATTCCACTTCTTTCCCTTAAAAAACTCTTTGGTTGCTTTTGCAGTATGCTTTGGGTCATTGTCCATCTGCACTGTGAAGCGGCGTCCAATGAGTTCTGAAGCATTTGGCTGAATATGAGCAGATAATATTGCCCGAAACACTTCAGAATTCATCCTGCTACTTTTGTCAGCAGTCACATCATCAATAAATACAAGAGAACCAGTTCCATTGGCAGCCATACATGCCCACGCCATGACACTACCACCACCATGCTTCACTGATGAGGTGGTATGCTTAGGATCATGAGCAGTTCCTTTCCTTCTCCGTACTCTTCTCTTCCCATCACTCTGGTACAAGTTGATCTTGGTCTCCTCTGTCCATAGAATGAGGTTCCAGAACTGTGAAGGCTTTTTTAGATGTCGTTTGGCAAACTCTAATCTGGCCTCTCTGTTTTTGAGGCTCACCAATGGTTTACACCTTGTGGTGAACGCTCTGTATTCACGCTGGTGAAGTCTTCTCTTGATTGTTGACTTTGACACACATACACCTACCTCCTGGAGAGTGTTCTTGATCTGGCCAACTGTTGTGAAGAGTGTTTTCTTCACCAGGGAAAGAATTCTTCGGTCGTCCACCACAGTTGTTTTCCGTGGTCTTCCGGGTCTTTTAGTGTTGCTGAGCTCACCGGTGCGTTCCTTCTTTTTAAGAATGTTCCAAACAGTTGTTTTGGCCACGCCTAATGTTTTTGCTATCTCTCTGATGGGTTTGTTTTTTCAGCCTAATGATGGCTTGCTTCACTGGTAGAGACAGCTCTTCGGATCTCATCTTGAAAGTTGACAGCAACAGATTCCAAATGCAAATAGCACACTTGAAATGAACTCTGGACCTTTTATCTGCTCATTGTAATTGGGATAATGAGGGAATAACACACACCTGGCCATGGAACAGCTGAGAAGCCAATTGTCCCATTACTTTTGGTCCCTTAACAAGTGGGAGGCACACATGCAAACTGTTGCAATTCCTACACCGTTCACCTAATTTGGATGTAAATACCCTCAAATTAAGCTTACAGTCTGCAGTTAAAGCACATCTTGTTCGTTTCATTTCAAATCCATTGTGGTGGTGTATAGAGCCAAAAATGTTAGAATTGTGTCGATGTCCCAATATTTATGGACCTGACTGTAGGTGCATAGGACTCCTACATACATGTGATACCACAAACAAGCTCATTCTGCTTGTCATCGTTCCCTTGTCAATCTCCCCTCCAATTATTCTTCCGTTCCTTTAAACGCTTCCCGACCGCCCTATAGCAGATGTGTTCCATGCACACTAGAGTTTTTTTAATCCAAAACGCTAGGGGGAAGACAAAAAAAAAAAAACTGAAGAAAAAAACACTGATAATAGCATTTTTGTGCCAGCTTGTAGTAGCATTTTAAAAGGATTTTGGAGCGGTTTTATAGTACAAAAAAAAACCTAGAAAAAAAAAAAGCTGTTTCTGCTGGAAAAATGCTCCCAAAAACAAGGCAAAAATTTTTTTACTGCTCCTAAATGCTAAAGCTTGAAAAACGCTACTAGCCTAAAATAGTGTGCATGGACAC